AATCACATTATCGAAACGCAGAGGATTAATAGCACACAAGCACAAAGGGATAAAGTCATCCAAGCAGTACATACGAAAGTTCTATTTCATCATTTGAATCAATCAGGCATTATATGATCATGCAAGCACAAGGGGATAAGATGGTCATCCAACAGTACATACAAATATTCTATTTCATCATGCATATATTATACCCGTGTACATGTATTCTATTTTATACGTAAACAGTTAAGGTACTAAGCGAAAGGTTGACTCATATATCACTTTTGTCCGTAGATCACTTTGGTCTCCCTCACTCATCTAACGATACTAACACAGGAACTCATAGGAACTTGATTCGGACGATTGATTTAACGATTAGAGAGTAATTAGGGGCACTTTTCCACCTTACCCGATGAGTTCTAGGAGGAGAGATTCAAAAATCAGTCACAGAATATACCCAAATTAACCAAGGACATAAACATCGCTAAACATTATACACGTAAATATTTATACAGATCAACAAAAGATAAAATTAAACACTTGAATTATTCTGAAAACAAAGTTAAATTGATTTTAAAAGCACACTCCCTGTGTGTAATATTTCGGCGAAAAACACTACCGAATGCGATTTCATGCGAATGCTATCTTTAAAAAATGTTTGATAAAGTAATGAAACGAACGACAAAACATCATTCAAGTGAGGAATAATCAAAATAATCCAAGATAAGCAACAATACATTCGAAGAAATTCAACTGAACCGCAATGTTATTATTAAATCAAACCACCAGTATCATCATCATTACCACAATACCATTGAAATATCAATAACATTAAACATCAAACAAGTCATCGATAAAAAGCATTTTTACACTAGAACTGTTAAAAGCAACGTAACATTGTTAAAAAGCAACGTAACAATGAATCAGTCAATAAAATATTCAATAAATTAAATCTTATCAATGCGATAGATGCAATGTGCAGGTGCGAAATAGCCTTCGTATTGGGCAATTTCAGGTGTTGTATCAATGTGATAATGTCCTCCGGATTTGTTGGATTCGTTGTATCCGTGTGTATGTTCAACACGTAGTTTATATCCATCGTTATCGTGTGAATGTACCACTGACGNACCAGTCGTCTTTCTTCATTAGATAATATCAGTTATCATTATTACTATTATTATTTTTAAGATTGCTATTACTATTATTGTTATTGTTATCAATTATTTTATCATATCTTATTATCACAAAATTGTAGTACGTAAATACACTAGATACTAGATACTAGCCTATCAAAGCCCATAATTATTCCATCTATAATAAAATATCTTCACCTCTCTGATTCTCTGAAGAACTCCAGAACATGAAAAAAAAAGAGCGAGTACAGTGCTAGTAAGACCAATGAATATTTATCAAGCATGGTCATGGCTAGAATTGAGCAATCATGATGAAGTAAGTATAAGTATGCGACAGGGACCGTTCTCGTTAGTGGGAAAAAGGGCGTGCATGGGGCTTCAACAGATTTGGATAAAACAGAAGACAACCTTTTCATCTTGTTTCCGCGGCGAAACAGGATAATCGGGCAGAATGTGCATATAAACATCGCCTTTGTGGAGCAAGAACAGCCCAGCCAATGAGACCAACTGATGATTTCTACCGTAATAAGACTCAATCGCTCGTTGAATTGATTCCGCATAACCGAGTTCACCGATTCGTTTTGTTGCACATATCTTCACTATAAATATCTTTTATGTGCACATATCTATTCATGCATCATATCGCTCGATGACGACACTTCCATGAAGCATATGAATAAGTTCATTATGCAACAGGGTCCCCATAGGGGGATAATTATCCATTTTCGGGTATTTTGAAGATGTCGGAGAGTAATGAAGGGGATTGGGAGATTAGTTCTGTCGTTATACATGGAAGTAGTAAATTACTGCAGCGGGAGGGGATAAAGAAGGCCTGCCAGACCATAGAAAGGGAAATGGATCACCCAAGCGTGGGGATCGCTGATATAAAACATGTACTGGTCACAGTGATGATGGTAAGAACAATAATGACAATAACGATGACAATATTAATCAACCATAATGATGTCGATAACTACTAACAAACTTTTCTGTTGGCACATCCGTCACTAATCGCTAAGTTCGCGGTTATCTCAAAATCAGTGCTGTCAGTCGTTGACATCGTATATCCATTTGCACTGGACACTATCCATGATACTTTATTTGCTATCTGTAACGATAACCATTATGATAAATCGTGTTGTTATAGTTGAACTGATAATATTCTGAAACTAGATGAAATACCGATTATTTACTGTTAATAGATTTGGTAGAATCACGGCTTATTAATAACAGTAACAAGTAATGCAATGGAGAAATGAAGTTCACGGTTATGATATGAGATAGTATATTTAGAAGGTACTACTACGAATAATAACAGCAATAATAGTAATTAGAACAGTAAGAATTATAATATTAATGGATCTAACAATGGTAATGAAAATTAATGAACTAACTTTGAACTGGCTTTTGATAAGATTGGCATCAGCAACCAATTCAGAACTGTGTCCGATGGCATCGAACGGACCTGCTCCTGGACCGAATACGAAAGCTTCTGGTAGTTCGCATGTTTCACATACCTTCTGTAATTGTATATTCATAATGGACAATATCCATTTATTCCAATTTTATTATTGTATCTAAAAATTTGAATTTGGACGTTGATACGCCACCCAATTCCGAGCAAAACTTTCCTCCAAGAACGAGAATCGAACCCGCGACTGAATATCTGTTCAGGTTTGAATTTTGATGGCTAAAAATGGCTCGAAAGAAACTGCAAGCGATTTTCTTCTTCCACGATCGTCAACTATGATGGATGTATCAGTCAAGATGTACGTGTCTAAGGGAACCTTCCAATCAATTTGAAACGTCATATGACAATGATTTTATTGGTATGGTCGTGCACGAAATAGACGCATTCGAATTATAATCGATCTAAATGACCAACCTTTAAGTTGAATATTTTCTTAGTTCCGTGTGGATATAGGTTCGGTATACCACCAACTTCAGCAATTCGTAGATTATTGCCAATCCCAGATCCTGTCATACGAAATGGTGATTCTCGTAGATCTGCAAACAACTATCGTTCATTCAAATGTTTATCAGCTTCATTTTTTCTTTATCCTTTATTAATTGTAATTAAATCAGTTGAATATGGTAGTTGCCAAGGCACTGAATACATTGTAATTGAATGCAAAGCAATAAAAGTAATGGAATAAGACGTCAATAAGATTAATGGAATACGACGTTGGTAATGCATTATTTCATAAAATCATGTAATACGAGCAACTCACTCGGACATTCAACAATATCGATGCTGACGCTTTCGTAGTTTTTAACCATCGAATCATGAAGAACTGATTTCAACTCATCGAGACTTGGAACAACTAGATTGATCTTATGATCGAGTTTTGTCGAGCAGTCGTTCATTGCCATTGATGAAAATTTAGTGATGTTGCCCAATTTTGAGGTTATCAATGCACTTGGTTTGAATAATAACTTGATTAGTTGCATCTTATCAGTACTCTGATAACAACGTTAATAATCTGCAAAATGCAATATAAATAGATTGTGTGCACTATCAGAAGCAGATCAATAAACTTTGTCTGAGGCTTTCTTCGGTAATGCGTTCTCAATTTGAATTGAGCTTGTCAATAAGCAAGTCTAGATTAAGGTTTAGGCCGATACCTGACTAATGCTAAGTAAGTCTAAACTAATTTATAGCCAGATATGAAGTAAAGGCTTAATTGGAGCTAGAATGATCTCCATATTTTGCAGGTAACGCTTTTGTCATTGGAACTTTCGACCCAACGCGATGATTAAGGTGGATATAAGATATGATAAGGTTTGATGATAACAAACTGATAAATGCGTATGATAATCAATTGCTGTCTAGGCTGAATTCGACATCGAACAATGAAATTAATC